ACATAGTTAGGGAAACTAAGAAAAGAAACTAAAGAGAAATATAAAAAGAACGAAGTAACTGTTTACCACGACGAAGCCTTGACTGTTCCTCCGCCTTCTCCTCTCCCTAGAGCTGCTGTTCTGCCTCCAACATCGTCCAAGAATGAGAAGAATTGACCTAATTTGTGCCTTTTTAATAAAAATAAATGTGGGCCTTTAATTGGGTCACTGCTCACTGAAGCAAGCTGTTTAGCGAGCAAATACAACTTCCTCGCTGGTCTTCTCGCTAAAGCGAGCATGCTGGCGAGCAAATTCAACAATAAAAATATGGTTTCATATTTTGAGTATAACTTGATCTATATTCATCCAATTGATATGATCTTGATCTTGTTGGAAAGGAATGAGAAAGATCTACAACTTTTGTGAAGAACACGAGATCCAAATCTATCATATTTGATATTAAAATTGACCGAAAGACAACTTCAAAAAGATTTTCACTGAATGGTTACTCCTCATTTATCTCCTTAAGTCTTTCTAGCTTAACCATTGCTCTAATGCTCCATAATAGCAATTTAAACTTGAAACCAATATATTTTTAAGTCAGTAACACATTAAATCATAAAAACTAAAGAATCTTTTGCATTTGACAAAATGTGTTATGTTTCCAACCATTTACAATGACATTTACCATACTTTTGCATCTAAAAACAATGTGTGTTTGACACCTAATGTAACATCTCGTAGTACTCCGGTTGTTAACATACATGATATTTAGCGTACACAGCGGAAGATTTTATTTTATTAAATATAAAATCGTCTCTTAAAACTATGAGTTAACTTTTTTCAAAATGTTTTCTAAAAACATTTCCAAAATCGTTCACAACAGATATTGCGTAAGCGTAAATCTAAAACATACAACTACTAATTAATCCCATTAGCCAGTATTAGTGGCCATTGACTAACCGGATATGACAACAAGTGTCATTCCTGCCAGATTCCCACGGACAACATAACAGTTGTTTAATGGATATATTGACTTTATTTAATATAACATCAACCATTGTGAATACTCTAAGACCTTGTGTTCAATAGTCTTGGCTTTATATATAGGCCTTCCAGTCATACTCAGCCCTGTGCACAATTGCATTTCTCCATAGCCAAGCTTGGCAAATCATCACTTAGAAAACCAAAGACCAAGGAGCATTGAATCTCACGGCTGACTTATTTTTCATGTTTGCTAGCAACCAGACATCCAAGTCATCATTAAATAATAGTCATATCATCCACCAACAGCTATCTCCAGACATTCTTTATTTGAACCCAGTCCCTGGTTGTTGACAAAGCAGGCAACTAGGAGGAGATACATGCATGCTAGCCATCCACCTTCTCGTAGGTAACCAATGGTGGGCAACTTTCCATAGAAAAAAACTAATTCTGTTGGGTCCTTTGATTTTCTATATTAACGACCATATTTTACTTTCGTAAGGGAGCTCCTCCTCTTGATTGCTTAAACAACTGTATTAAGATCATTTTTTGATCTTAATTCTTACTTTACCTTTATTTGTATTGTTAAACTCTTTTATAGTTGAATATGTGCTAAAACTCAAAATAATTTCTCTTTCAATGTATGTAGTCAAAGAATCATCTAGAAATTTGTCTTTCATTCTACTCGAAGCCTGCTTGATTATCTTCATAGTTGAACAAACTCTTTCAGTAGTTGTAGATGAAACTGAGAGAGTTAATATAAGTCTAATCACTCTATCAATAAGAGGGTAAATGATTGATTTTTCTATTTTTTTTATGAGTCCTTGACATAATTAATAAGTGATTAATCTATTTTTTTTCATTTGAGGTAGGGCTAACTTTTAGGACTAATAGCCTATCATAATTACAAAAATTTCATTCAATACACATTGTAACAAAAAAAAAAGTTCGCAGAGGGGCAACCGCTAACCCTTGCCCTTCTCTTAGATTCTCCCCTAGGTTGGGGTGAATACCTAAATGAGTTGTTGTATAATCGTTAAGCTTTCCTCTATGGCAGATAGTGGCAATGCTATTGAGACATGATAAGCGGGTGTACCTACATGAACTCGGACGCTCAAGTGAGTATGAGACCAAGATATAGATTGCAATTTGGTTAGATCTTTACATGAGGGTGAAGACCCCAGTAGTTATAGTGAAATCAAGGAATGATCACTTATTGCTATGATAGTGGTATCTTGGTGACTTCTAGAATATTGGAGTTTGAGGCATGATTTTGGAACTCAATGTTGTTAGGACCATCACGTCTGTGGTTGACATTATATGGGAGTTTGAGACATAATGGTGTTGTTAGGACTACAAGGCACGTGGTCAACACCATATTTGGTTGTATGATGGTTTGTTGATAAATCATGAAATTTTTTTGGCTTTAAGGCATTTGAGAGAAATTTGAGGACTAACAGAAAAAATAGCAGTTTGACTGTTGTTAGATTATATTGGCATGTTATTTTCTTTCTACACTCCACACTAATAACTAGTCGACGGAGTCAAGTAACACTTGTGACTATGGAAGGTCTTATATTGTTAAAGGATATAATCACCACTTGATTTATTTTTATTTGACTTTAGTTGAATGGAGTCATATTCAGATATCACACCTTGGATCATGTGTTTTCTTAAAATATGGTCATATTATAAGAATTAGCCCTTAGCCCAAGAGTCATTTTCAAATAACTTGTTTTTCTTTTTCTTTGATCTTAATTAAAATTTTACAATTGATTTTGCCCAAGTAGGAGAATGTTAGAATTTTTTATAATCATTGTGGGCTTCAATCAATTGTAGTTTTTCTTATTTTGATAAAAACGGGCTGTCATGATCTATATGAGGATGCAATATAAAGTTCATCTAATTAAGTGATCATTTGGTTTGGACTTGGATATTTATAAACTGATTAGTGTGGATGACAGTGTAGTCCTAACCCATAGGCCCGTGATGGGAAGGGGACTGGGGATAATAAGTTTAGCTTGGTCCCATCTGCATTCACGATGTGTTGAAAAATCATCACTCCACAACTTGCCCCAACGATAGTTGTGATTATGGAGTGGTGTGAACTGCAAAGGAAAATTTTGATCTTTCCAATCTTGCAGGAGTATCAGAGCAAACAAGAAACAAGAAAGCCTTCAAAATATCAAGAATCGTGTCATTAGCAAGTAACCCTAAACTCTTTTGGTGTTCTAAAATCATATAATCCTATTTTGAAATTTCTTACACGTACATGAACTCGGACGCTCAAGTGAGTATGAGACCAACATAGAGATTGCAATTTGGGTAGATCTTTACTTTAGGAAATCAAGGAACGATCACTTGTTGCTATTGGTAGTGGAATCTTGGTGACTTCTAGAAGATATTCCCAATTTTTTTTTGAAATTTCCATAAACGATAATGTATAGAGAAATAGAGGCGGAACCCAAAAAATTAAACTAAACGGGGACCTAATATAAAGGTGTAGTATAAGTATATATATATAACTGAAGGTGTAAATTGTGGGCTAATAGTATGAAAAGGTAGGTTAATTATAACCTAATTTATGAAAGAAACTAATATTCTAACTGAGAAAAATAATTTCAAGATGTTACTTAACATGAGATCTAAAAGCAGAAGTCTGACTTTATATAATGTATTAGATTATATATTTTTTCACTTTATTTTATTAATGCGGGGCATAAATATTTTTAAGTAATGTAAGTTACATTCTCAATTCTGGGATTGATTCCGCTTATATCTAATAGCTCTCCAATTTTTTTTTTTTTTTTTTTTTGTATAACAGCTCTCCAATTTATTAGTTATGCAATTCGTTAGATCTAAGTTGATCAACGATCAAGATTGAGCATAGAATTTTTTATTCTTACACTGGCCGCATAAATGGATCATTCCCTTTTAATAAATAAATTTGGTACATATTTTGAGCAATTTTTGCATGAAATACGTTTTCAAAAGTTAATATATAAAGAAAATTTCTGTGGTACTTATATATATATATATTTATATTTATATTTATATATATTTAAGTTATTGATGCAATTTTTTTATATCATAAGAACCTAAAATATCATTTTTAGAAGGATTGTTTAAAAATGAACACGTATTATGTCACTTATGTCGTATTCCTATGGAGCTAAATGATTACAATTGTTTAGGAATATGGCCTGTGTGATCATCTGTAGATTCTTTACATAGTATCCTCCATTAACTAACAATGGGAAACAAAATTGTGTGCCAACGTGACAAGGATGATCTTAATGATCTAAGAGCTCGTCATAGCTTCTACAAAATGAGGTCTTTGCGTCATTTGCATTACCTTGGTTGTCCACCGAACTGCCATCATTACATGAGGAGAAAAAAGGGAAACCAGTACCCTTGATGCAGCTAAAGTAATAAGGGCTGAGGGACATTATCAAAAAAATGTTAGGGTTCAATTCTCAGCAAATATTCTAATAGTAGGTTCTCCTTTTTTTAAAAAATAAGTGAAATTAGATATGAAAAGGAGCACACCTTATCATATGAATATAATATTATTAACGTAATTAGTGGATAATACTATTATGGATTCCAAGTTCAGATCTAAAATGAAAAAATTTAATATAAAAAATCACCTTGGTCAAAAGCCAAACACCATTACTTTTTTTTTTTGTTGCATTACAACTACTAGAAAAGTAGTTGCGCAACATGATTAATATGGGTTTAAAACATATATTCGATTCTTTCAAATATTATCTTTAGGAGAATAATTTGCCTCGAACACGATTATCTTCCTATAAGGATATATGTGATTTATCCTAAAAAACTTTTGTCATAGTGGGTTTTCGATTATGTAATAAAATTATTTTAACATATATAATTATAACTGATCTTTGGGTATAAATATCGAGAAGGCTAACCTTTCTCCTGCATTCAATCCCACACAAGCATAATCAAGCACATGCAATTTCACTTCTCAAAACACTAAGAAATCTAGAGAGAGAGAGAGAGAGATTAATAAGATGGGTGAATTGACATATAGTGAGAAGGTACGCGCGTGGTTCCGCAATTCAAAGTCATATCTGCTAATAATAAGCTTGCAGTTTGGCTCGGCTGGCATGTACCTTATCACCATGGATGCCCTCAATAAGGGCATGAGTCATTATGTGTTTGTTGTTTACCGTAATGTCATCGCCACCGTAACTCTTGCTCCCTTTGCATTTTTTCTTGAAAGGTTTGCCCTCTCTTCTCATTCATAATTAACACCAATCATCCATGTTCAACATATATACATGCAATGTGTTTTCATATCGTTTACTTTCATTATGAACGTAATAATCCAGCCAGCTTTTCGTTGTTGTTTTTTATCAATGGTTGGTGCTAATTATGCGTTACTTCTAGTTTTTCTTCAGTATATAATATTTATATCACAATAGATTAGAATATTAGGATGCTATGTTTTTATGCAACTTAATTAGTTCAAATACTTACAATACTATTCCATTAAGCATTACTTAATTTACTTCTTTTATTATTAAGTTAGTACTGTACAGTAAAACTAACAATTCTATTAGGTTACTTCGGGACTTGTGGTGATTAACTATTTGTCTATTCCTATACTTTTTTCAGGAAAGTTAGGCCCAGGATGACAGCTCGGATATTTTCAGAGATTATGGCAGTGGCTTTTGTCGAGTAATTATATCATCTTTTTTTACTCACGTTTGGATGAATAATGAAAGATATATACGGGTATTAATTTTTTTATATAAATATACTATATAAATTATGTATATATTAATACTAATATTAAGTTAATTCTTAAATGAAAAGTTTTCTTTTATCTAATTGACCTTTAAAATAACATCAAATTAATTTTTAAATAATAAAAATGATTAAATTGAACGCGAATGAAAGACTAATTTATCTATCCTATAAAAGTTCTTCTATCATTATTGTTACATGATATTTTTTAAAGATTGACTACTTTATTTTATTTTTTATTTTTTCAATCTATATCTTTCTTGTTTTTTTTTTATCTTTTCCTATCGTAAAATTTTTATTTTTATAAAATAGCATGCAATTTTAATAAAATAAAAAATATATACTTTATTAAAAATATATATATTATTACATTATCCTAAACATATTTATAAATTATTTTGCTATTTTATAAAAATAAAAAATATATACTTTATTAAAAATATATATATTATTACATTATCCTAAACATATTTATAAATTATTTTCTATTATTTTATTTTAAAATAAGTTTTTAATAAGAATATTTAAATACATTTTCGTGAGACAACTTTGTTGATAGAGTTGTAAAAAACACAATAAAAGTACAAAATTTGAAATCTTACAATACACTATATATATCCCGTTCCCATAGCCTTTCCTTACTCTCCCTGCATGCTCCTTGTGGACTTTCCTAATTCCTAATATCTACCTATCCTTAAAAAAATTTAAATATGAACATTTTATTATACTTTATAAAAATTATGTTTAACATTTTCAATCAAGCATTATTTTAAAACTACTTTAACTATAAATTTTTTGAAGTAAAACAAATTAATTTAAATATGCATTAAATAGTTATCTATTGAATAAAAAATCTATAATCATAAATATTTGATGTAAACATGTATAGTGAAAAGGTAAAATAATTAATTTAAAATAAATATTGATAAATAAAAGACAAAAGTAATATCGCGTAAATTTTTAAAGAATTAAAAAATGGGTGTTTAATTTTATTGCATTGGTATCTCTCTCGCACACATAATCACGCACTCCTTCATAAGATAGGTTAAACGCAGTATATAATGTTCGTAAAAACATGTTTAATTGTGTGCTGTTAATCACAGGATAATACTTGATCAATGCTTCACCTTTTTGGGGATGAAGTTAACGTCAGCATCTTTTGCATCTGCCGTGATGAACTCCGTACCCTCCATTACCTTTGTACTGGCAATCATTTTTCGGTGAGATATTATTAATCAAATGATATTAATTAATAACTGTCTTTACTGACGCGTAAGAAACAAACACGTACCCTGTGTGACAATCCTCCATGGATCCCACTATTTGTTGAGCTTCGCACTTTTGAATATATTTAATTTTAGGGAATAATATTTCTTTTTAAGATTTTCCTGGGCTAACATGAAAGTAGGTGAGATTTTTTCTTTCTTTCTCTCTCTCCTTTATTTTATTTTATAGGGCCTCCTTCATTTTCACGTGGATGCAGGATCATGACATTAAATGAGAATTATTTATTTGATTTAAATTCATCGATAATAAAATAATTGTAAGATAGTGTAAGAATAAAAAAATTCTAACCATAACCTATCCAATATATATATATATATATGGCAAAATCCTTTGATATAGATGTCAAACTTTAAAATTTGACACAAAATTCTAACCGTTGATTTTCGTCAATCAACGATTATCATTTATTAGAAAATAATAATTAATTAATAAGTTTGATTTAATGATAATCGTTAATTTGTAGAAAGAAATATTAGAATTTGGTGTCAAATTTTAAAGTTTGACACCGGTGATCCTATCTCTTTCTCTCTCTCTATATATGTGTGTAAATAAAAGGTCTATGTAGCTCATTTTCAATCTTTGCCAATCACAAAATATTAATGTTTTAGTTAAATTTGCAAGATAATGAATATTCTATAAAAAAGAGTAATTTCTAGATGTAATTGAACCAAGAAATAAGTAGTGTTTGTATTTGTTTTCCCTTCCCCCAATTAAAACAATGTTTTCATTACTTGTTTTCATTATATGTGAAAGATAGCAAAGGAGTAAACTTAAAGAGAGATTCATATATATAAAAATAATAATATTTTGGCAGATTGGAGCGCATAAACATGAAGGAGCTAGGATGTCAAGCCAAAGTGATTGGCACTGTGGTAACTCTTGGAGGCGCTTTTCTAATGGCACTTTACAAAGGTCCCGTAGTTAACGTTGCAGGGTCATCATCAGCCAGTAATGTTGGCCAGCCTGAGAATGTGAACGACCCTAGTGGGGATCACTGGATCATTGGTGCATGTTTCCTCCTAATAGGCTGTGCAGGCTTCTCTGCTTTCTACATATTGCAAGTAAGTTGATCCAATTGATTAATTTTAATTATATATATATATATACAGAAATGATCCGTTTATAAATTTTTTTTTATAAATTTTTACAAATTATACTATGTACTCCCGGAATTGCATAATATAATCTAGTGTACTTCCGGAAGTACATAATGTAGTTTATAAGAATTTATAAATAAAAAATTTGTAAATATAACTCTCTCTATATATTGTAATGGAAAATTAAATATATCCATGATTTCGTCATTTGCAGGCCATAACATTGAGAAAATACCCAGCAGAGATGTCCCTAGCCACCTGGATTTGCTTTGTAGGTGCCCTCCAAAGCACTGCAGTAACTATTTTCATGGAGCGCAATAACCCTCATGCCTGGTCTCTAGGCTTGGATTCTAGGCTTTTTGCTTCTGCATACTCGGTTAGTAGTTAGTACCCATTATTTGGGCTCAACAATCCCAACCAAACTGTGTGATGTGCTCAATGGCCCAACCCAAGTTACATTATTAGCCTTAGCAAGCATCCATGGTCTTTTTTTTTTATTTTTTGACATATTTTGCTAATATATTGCACAGGGAATAGTAACATCAGCAATCCAATTTTACGTGCAAGGCACGGTTATAAAAACTACGGGCCCAGTGTTTGTGACTGCTTTTAATCCCCTGCGTATGATCATAGTCACAGCCTTTGCTTGCTTCATCCTCTCAGAGAAACTCCACCTTGGAAGGTACTATTAGCAAATGAAGTGTTACAATTCAATACACTTCTCATTATCATTTTGTCTCAATTTTTTTTTTGTTTCCTTTGCTAAATGCAACTTTTCTTTAAGAATATTAACCTCATTTTGTGGAATTGTTTTGATATGTATATCAGCATTATTGGAGGAGTAGTCGTGGTTATGGGACTATATCTAGTTGTGTGGGGCAAATCTAAAGAACACAAAAGTATGATGCCACCATCCCCTGAAAAGGAGATCACCCTGCAAGGCCAACAGCAGCTACCAGTTACTGTCCCCACAATTAATAACAACAATAATGAAGCTCAGTTAGTCATAATCGGAGATAAAATCAGCGATGTGGAAGCCACAAGATCGAGTACAGAGAAGCAATGATAATAAGTGGACCTCATTGGGATGCATATTCACATACAAACTATAATTAGTACCACTGGCCTAAGACCAATGTATTGTGAATTGTAACTTTACCGTTTTCCAGAGTTCCTTCCAAAATTTTGGATAATTTTGTGCAAACTATGAATTGCATATTTTTATTTTCTATTGCATTCTATAAAATATATCATCTTGCAAGTTTTAAGGGCCTATACATATTCAGGAACATGTTAGAGGATGCGTCTAATTAACTCTGATCAGCTTTAGATTCAGAGCAAGGATAGTATTCGTCACAAATGAAAATAACATTTTAGCATTTCATATGCAAAATTACTGAGGGAAGAATGGGAAGCAGAATTAGCCATTAGCAAAACGGCAAGAACTTCAAGCAATGGGAAAATTTGAAGGGAGTTTGAGATATTGCTTGGATTGTTGTTTCAAAGGGAAATTTGAAGTTTAATCAGATTCGTCCTAGATTAATTGAACCCTCAACAAGCTACCCCAAGTACCTATGTTTCCTTTTTCTTTTTTTTTGGATACAGTACCTATGTTTCCTAGACCTGGTGAGTGGTGACCAAAAATATGTCCCTTTCATCTTTTCGAGTCATAGTTCTAAAACAAGCACCCATTGATCGATGTTGAAGATCACATTTGAAATAAGGGACTTTCATAAAGGACAAGTCAACATCGTTCCAACTCAAAAGTTGATAATAATGCTTCAACCTATCATCTTATCCCATAAGAAAACTTGTTCAAATACACTTTCTTGTTATCCATTTTCCACACTCCATTTAGACTATGCTCAAAAGAGATATATAAATAGGACCCCATGAGAACTCAAACACATCCATATCGACTAGGAAAGAAGCTACATACAATGAGCTCTATCTAGCCATCTCCATTCAGACTATGCTCAAAAGAGCTCTATAAATAAGATCCCGTAACACCTCATACAAGTATATCCTATTTATCTAGCCATCTCCATTACACTACTTCTATGCACTTTAAGAACTCTGCATTTTACTCTTTCATTTCGATCTTTAATATTTTGAATTATTTTTGCTGATGACCATATAGTATTATTTTCCCCGAATTCTTCTCTTACCATCTCCGTACCATTGATAAAATCAATATTTGTGGTAATCGAAAGATAAAGATGCTTAAAATAAAATAAAAATTATAACATCACACGGAACTAATTTAATTGAAAATAATAAAATGATTATCAAGGGGAAAAAATAAACCTAACCTTAAATGGAAATGGATTTTTTTATATAACATGAGGTAACGTGAAAATGATTTCAATTATTTAGATATAAACAGTAATGGGAGAATGTATTTAGATAAAAGATTCGAATATACATGATCTCTTGTCACGTTAAGGGATTCATTCTCAAAATTATTTGAGTGTACAATGTTAGTAGTAAATAGTACGAAGTAACCTAAAGTAATGAATTAGAATTAGTGCCCAATATTGTCAAAACTTTCGAAACCGGACCACGTGTGATTCATGACCCTAATTTAGGATTTCAGTGTTCCAGAATAATTTATTCAAAATGTTTTTCCGACATGGTTTCTTTATCTTATTTTAATATCTGTTACCATCAATCCTAATGTTCACCCATAGATATAGTTTATTATAATATGAATATTTAATACTAAACAATGTTTATTCAGATTGAAGTCGCATAGTTACGGCGATCCACCAGCATTCTACATAAACGACAAATTGTTGCAAGCAGCGTCGATTCTCATATCCCAACTAACGTCACTACATATTTCTACAAAACTTTAGGATTTATGATATAGAATAATATAAATAAGAGGTAGGTTATACTTACAACCTTTTTTTTTACAACCTCTTACAATCATATCTTAACACCGTTGATTTCTGTCAATCAACGGTTATGATTTTCGCAAATTAAATTCATTAATTAATTATTAATTTACGATAAATGATAACCGTTGATTAGCGGAAATTAACGGTGTTAAGATATGGTTGTAAGAGCTTATAAAAAAAGGTTGTAAGTATAATATTCCTCTATAAATAATTAAAAATACCCTCATCCAACAGTTTATATTTTTGGATTTATGAGGTTATGAGTTTGATTCTCACTATCCCCACTTGTAAGATTAAATAAGTACAAGATAAAACCTAAAATTTGATCAATGCAATATTCACGCTTCAAGTCCAAAGAACTCTTTGCGTGAGGAGATGTGTTAGAAAATAATGTAAACCATTATTAAAAAAGTCTTCACCCAACATCTTAAACTTTTGGATTGAATTAATTCTTTATAATTTATCTGTTAATGTTGTAAATACAATAAGGATATATCGGTAAAGATAAAAAAAATACAATGGATCATTTAAAAAAAACAATTAGATACACAAATTAACCTAAACCAGAATGGAGTGGTATTGAATCAAATGACGCTTTCTTTCTTTTGGTACATAAATGATGCTTTCTTTTATTTGTAGGATGATAGTTTTATTTCACCACACTTTACATTATTAATATTCTTTTGGACCAATAATAGAACTAAGGACTAGAGATGATTACTAAGAATGTGAGAACAAAGAGATCCATTACAGCTAGGTTTTTATAAAGCCTATATGGCTATATTGTTCTTCTACGCTCCTTTCTAAATTCACGTTTATTAAGGATATAGCCGTACACATGCCCTTTTATATAATTTTTTTAATTTTGTTTTAAAATGTATTCTTATATTGTAATATTATTTATTATTGGGATCTTAAAGTATTGGAAGTGTCCCTCTACATAAGTTTTTTTTTCGGAGCTCTATGTCACTAAAACCTTACTCTTTCGATCAATAAGTGTAACTTCTTTTTTTCTTTTTTTATGATCAAGGAACATAAAGCGTAATAAACTTTGTAATGTCATTCAATATAAAAAAAAAAAACACAATTTCCTATGAATTAATTTGGAGTTTGAAACAGTTTAGGATTAAGTCTTTAAACTTTTCTCAAACATAGAATAAATATTTGGAAGGATTTCCTTATCACGCGCAGTTCACACACAGATAGAATCATCCTTTTCAGTTACTTGGTAGGAATAAATCTCGTGAATTGTATTAACAAGATAGCCTGGCCTCCGTTAAGAAATTCAATAAAAGGGAAAAATTCGTACAGAGCGTGACAAAGTGCAAATTGAGGTTGCTGTATATTGTAATATTTTTATGTATAAATGAGCTGAAGAAGCATGAGCATAATTGTTCTAGGACTAACTTAAGCATGGATGGGAAATTAATAGAGCAACACAAAAGGTAAATGCCCATGTAGGCCAACCTAAAAACTCATATGATTCCAAAGTTTGGGCGATCAAGAATGCGCAAATGAGTGAGGGTATTCTTCATGTTGCAGCTGACTTTTGAGCTTTCAACTTTATGTACATTACATCCACTCGCGGACCCACGTTGGGTCACATGTCGGCACTATGTGATTTTGGATTTTAATTTTTTTTTTAGCTATGTAGGTTATTATTTGTCATTTAGTTCAATATTTATAGTAAGAATAAATATCATTTTAAGTCTTTAACAAAAAATATAGTCTCCATTTTAGTCCCTTATCAAAAATTAGTCTCAAAAAGATCCTTAAAAAATTTAAAGTAGATCAATTTAATTAAAATCGTGGTCCCTCACAAATTCAAAAAAGACCTACATTAGCAACTAGACTATGAGCAGGTTTAAGCGTTAATTTAAACCTTTTTTACAAAAAAAAAATTCGGGGGCAGACATAGAGAAATTTTCCTGAGTCCGCCACTGATTACATCCAAGCACATAATGCAAAGAGAGAAGAGAGAAAAAAAAAAAAAAAAACATGATACTCAGATATAGTTTTATTCCAAATTTCCGTTTCTTGAGAGAAGAATCTTTGCATGCTATCTATAAACATTTGCTTGAAAAGCAAACCGATCTGCTATTGAAACTGCACCACATAAAAAGAAGACAAAAGAAAAGAAAAGGCCTTCTCCATCTCCCACATTAGAAGCGTGCGATCATCATTCTAAATTCGTAAAAGGGGTACGGAAAATAAAAGATCGTCTCTGCTCATGAGATCCGATAATAGAATATAGAACAATTTTATATAAAAAATAATAAGAATTCATGTTACGCCTAATTCACAGCATATCTTCCCAAATCATAAGACTTTGGTACGGATGAATTACTAGACTAAAGAGTCAATAAGCTAGCCGCTAATAGTCTCCGGCCAGCTTTTCAAGATCATCGTAAATTTTGATGAGTAGAATTACTGACCTCACGACGTGACATTTATGCCAAGAAAATAAGCTTTAACTATTTGCTAGTTGTTCTTATTCTTAAAATAACAACGCGATCTATCAAATGGTTTCAGTTTAGTGGCAGTTTATATGTGCATATTTATAATTTAATCGGAGCAATATTTTCGAATTTTTTTTTAAATAAATTTTTTAATATATTAAAAAATAAAAAAATAAAAATCAAGAGTTAACTAAGCTGTTACAAAATAAATCTATGTTAGTTCTTTTAAGGAACTAATGTTGATTTTTTTTAAAATTTCAAAGGGACCATGATTTTGACTAACTAGATCTATTTTGAAATTTTGAGGGATGTGACTTTTTTTTCTAAGGGATTAAATTGGGTTCCGTAATTTTTATTGAGGACTGAAAATGTATTGTACTCCCCCCACCCCCTCCAAAAAAAAAATATTGTGTGTGCACTTGCACACAGTTGCAAACCTGCAGGTTCGTCGATGGCTCAGTTGATGCATGAGAGCTGAGTAAGTGGTGAAAAGATCTCAGTTTGATCCCTACCAATATTACTACATTTGGGACGGGCATAATTGTTGGGTGGTGTTTCTTCATTAATGTTGGCATGCACTTTCATTTCTAAGGTGCAGGGCTCAAGACAGCCGAATAACCTCAACCATCTCATCATTGTGAGAAGATTATGGAAGGAAGGTGAAGGGTTCCCGTCACCTTTATATAAACACATGAGACCATTTT